TTAATTACCCAGTTTATCGGACTCATTTATCGATTCGAGGTTGATAATTGAAAAATTGTAACTTTATGCCAGTAGTGCTTTATCTTTGGGCTTTATTGACATGTGACAAACCAGTTTTACGACTGATACTTTCCTTTCGACGGAATAAATTCATCTCATGTTTGCATATTTGCAAGTATTTTTTAATTCGCATTTCTACGAATAATCATGTGATTAGAATCTAAATAGCTCGAGTGTTTAATTATTAGTAATGGAACTGGTTTGGTTTTTTAAATCATTCCAAAATAAAATTGTTTGATTAGTTGAGCTAACATTAATACAAGACTTGAATCTTTTTACAAGCACTTGTCAATTAATTTATAAATAAATTCTGGATTGTTATTCTAAAAAGAATGGATCTTGAGAATAATAGTAATAGTGGCGAGTCATTAATTAATGAAGATGTTGAATAGTAATAACAACGAAACAATTTAAGCCAGTGGATTGATTAAGATAACTTTTTATATCACTAGCAGTAGCTCTATTTATTATTATTTTCAGAGTATTCTTTATTGTCACCGAGCAATTTGGGCATACCCACTTCTTGTTTCAGATCTTCTCGCATTTAAAATTCTAGTTTGTTTAGGTTCACGATTTTTAAAACAATTGATTTCTTTAATCATAAAGACACTAAATAACCATAAATTATCATATCAGAAGTAAATAAACTATATAGCAAAAATTTATTTGATTTTACCAATTTCCTTTTATCTTGATAACAATTTTTAACCATAAAACAATCTAGCTCGTGAGGGTGGTAACCACAACATGTAACCACTGATTGGGTTATCAGAAATAAGATTGTGAGTTTTTTCAATCTTGAGTTTGTGTATAACATTCAATGAATTGGTCAATTCATTTCTAAAAGAAAGCATGACATCAATTATATTATACAAATAGCACAAGTCCAACAATCTTTTTGGTAATGAGAACCAGAACAATTTTTTTTTGTGATATAGTCCATGACCAACAATATATGCAGTTGAAATAGAGCAATTATATTCTATAAATAACAAATTACATGTTAAATTTCAAAAGCGTAAATAACAAAAATAACAATTGTAACAGAAAGGGTAAAACTTTACTTTCATCAATTTGAAAACTGAATACTTGGAGTTTTTTAGCAACCTCAATATCACATATTTTATAATCTTCCAGATGCCATCATTGAGCATGTCAATCACGCACCATTCAAGTTTTACTTTATCTCCCTCTGTGTGTCCCTTTGGAAGACTAGTTGGTGTTCCAGATAGCTCAAAAATAAGAAGTTCTTTATCATCTAGGTTGACGAGAGATCCTATACCATCAGTTTTTGAACCGATTCTACATCTTTTGTCTCCTTTGAGATGCAAATTTTGGCGGTTTGTTGAGGACAAGCTTGAAATTTCACTCCTACAATCAAAAGAAAGAGTTATTAATAATCACAGAAACAATCCATCAAAATAAAAAAGTTGCTTACCAAGTTACATCCATATTTTTGAATATAAAAATAAAAGGCTTAATTATGGGTTCAATAGATGCACATGAAATGTTGGCTTGATGCTTGGTCGTTGTGCAAAATATTCTGGTTGGTTCTTGAGACAAAAAATAC